GTAATTGAAGAAATAATTTCTTGCCACTCGAGCCGGATAAGCCTCATCTATCGGCGTATTTTTGGACCAATAGGTGGCATTTATCGTCGATTTTACGTGTTAATCTAGGCCTGTACGATTTGTCGCTTATCGGCCTAAGCCTGTCTCCATAACTTTCTTATCAGGACGTTACCACCAAACGCCCGCGCCACCTATTGCCGACGTCAATCAATGTCGATCGTCAGTAAATTATTCAGTGTCTATTGTCACTGGTCGCAATAAGAATTTCTTATTGAGAAATAATAATTAAGCGTCGAGGACGTAAAGTTTTCGGGGGAAAAACAATGGCTCTGCGAAAAGCTCCACTTATCGGCCTTATGATAAAATGTACTATTTGGCGATCCAGCGTAGTCAAAGAGGCGAAAAAAATCTAATAATCTGCGGGAGAGCCTGAAGAATCTCCTGGGGGCCGTGCGGGCCGTTCTCGGCGTGCGTGCGTGTTACGGGCGAGTTTCTCACGGTGTTGTGCATTCGAAGGAAATTATAAGGGAGCGGGTTAAAGTCGGGTTAGCGCGGGGGTGTTTTTCGAGTGGCGGTGCAAGAGTAAAAGAGTACCAACGATGGGGGTTGCTGCTGGCGCTAGAAGGATAGTGAATCAGTTAAAAGTGGTATGAGAAGGTAAATCACACTTAATTGATATCACAAAGAAGCCCTTCCTCGGCGCCGCCACCCAGTCTAAACCCACTCCACAACTTGACTTCATAATCACCATCTCCACTCCTCTCCCCGACTCCTCTTGGATTAAACGCCGTCCAGATCCATGTTGAAGGTAAATTAACCTCCACCTCTAACACTGCTGAGAGCCCTCTCCTCATTTCGTGTGTTTCCACAACCCTTTTATGCCTCTTCGATTACCGTTGTCTTCGCTAGTGCGCCTCAATACCTCTCCACTCCTTTCATGAGGTATATTTCTGGAATGGGGAATTTTTTTTTTTAAGTACCGAACAACTCGGTATAGCCTCAAAAACCACGAGGATAATTGCTCCTGCAATCCTGAAACTCAAGGTGGGACGTTTCCAGACTTCCGCTCGAGCGTCGCCCGCGAATTTTACCCGAGTGCACAATGAATATTTATTTCTCTCGAGAAAAGAAAGACTCTTTCACCACTGACGTGAACACGCGAGAACCCCCTTGCAGCCCCCCCCATTCACTCCGATTTCCCTTGGTTGGTCGGTGAATAGCAGATCTCGAGGCAGGAGACACGATATATCGATACGTAATGAGTTGCGTATGCGATAATTGCTCCTGATTATGTGGGGGCTTTTGATCTTTCTACTTTCGTATTTCTGTTCTTTTTTTTTTGGTGGAGAACCGAAGGTTTGTAGTGTCATATGGCCCAAACCGCACACCACGTGACCAACAAAGGGTTGAATTGCATCGCGAGAAAGCAGGGCCCAGTGCGGTTTGGGAGGCATACATTGGTTCGGTTTCCGGTCACTCTTGAAAAAAAAAAACACTGTCAGCAACAATACATCTTTCTTATTTCTCTATTTTCACTGGGATAATATCCGGCATCGGGCACGCTTTGAAAGAAACCTATCAACCACCTGTGTTGCACCCTTCCTTCGAAAACTTTCACCAGGATAAACCGTACAACCCACCCCGTTTGTGCGAGGATCATCTGACTCGAGCTCTTCCTCCATCGATTGCTTCTCGATATCGTGAGAGACTCACGTCCATCACGCGAACTCTCGGAAAAGACGACGAAACGACGATTCGGTTTGGAGAAAAAAAAAAAAAAATGAGGTAGGTGAAGAGGATAGACTTCAAGGACCCCCCACCAAAGGTCCGAGGTCTCACGATTCTAAATTTCTTATTCCGCGGAGTCTTTCAGACACGGAATTATCGACAAAACTATACTTCTCTTTCCGCCTAGCTTAATTTCTTTGCTTCTTTTAGTTGTTTTTTTTTTTTACTTCATTCTACTCCTTTACTTCTTTAACTCATCCTGGTTTTAGGCGGCGGTTCATCGTACGAAAATCGATATGGAGGCTTAATCAACGCCAGTCGAAAGTTCATAGTCATTCGAGTTGTCACGAGAGCCATTCAATCGATTCATCGGCTCGCTCCTCCAAAAACTGGTTCGATGTTATTCAAAATACGAACTACATAAATTTTCGGGTGAAACATTGTTTACCCACGGACAAATGAAAGTTGAGGAAAAATTGCATCACGTAATTGTGAGGTAAAACTCTTGTCATATCTTCCACCTGGCGGTTCGGAATTAAAAAAGAAACTGAGAGTTAAAAGGTGGATATTTCTTCTAAAAATTTGCTGCCCCTCGAAGAATGTCTAGATATTATTTGATTAATGATTAAAAGATTATATTCCTCAGATGAAGATTGAATTTTCAATCCTCAACCGAAAAAAAGTTTCTTCCGAAAGTATCCGGAGAATCTTTGAGAGAAAATTTAATGCCCTTCTCAGTGCACGCAGTAACTGCCAAATACCACATTTCATCCGTCTTTTATAGCAGATTTGTGTCACCCTGATCCTCTTAAAAAGAAACATTGTCTCTCTTTCAAAAGCTTCATAAATTACTGAAACTAGGAAAGTCGACCAGGTGATGTTGGCAGATGTTTTTGTCGAAAAAGTCCCCGATCCACAGCAACGAAAACAAGCCACCCTTGTTTTCCATCGAGCTAACCAGAGATGGAGGGAGGGGACGCATGTGTATTGGTTCTGAGACGTCACGGTGTTTCCCAACACGAGGGAAAATGAAAAAAAAAAAAACCTCAGAGGACGGCGCAGAGGGAACGCACACCCTGTCTAGAACGAATCGTACAATCGAGACAAATTATACCAGAAATCATTCCCCGAGAAAAAAAAAGATGCTCACGAGACATTTCTTTCGAAAAAGGTGTTTAAAGGGAGTTCATCAAAGAGGTTACCTAACCCGACTATTTATCATCGGTCTATTTGCACGATACACAGAGCCAATGTACTCAGAGCGGCATACGACACGTTTGATCCGTGAAGACTGACGTAAATTCAAGACTGAAACCAATTATTCCTTCCGACAATCGACCGTGCGATACCGTATCTCCCCCCCCAGCTCAAACAAAAAATAATGCATCGTTAATTTCGCGGGCGGAAACTGCCAGTGCTTTTGATTGAACCATCACAAATCACTTGGTCACTCTTTCACCGAACAATAGCAACACGTTTTCGACCCGAAGAAACTCCAGAGTAACTAGAGATCATCATTCTATCATCCAATTTTTCCTCCACCCCCTGAACTACCGTATTACCATCTCATTCCATCAGTCTAATCGCCAATGCATCATACCAACAAATATCCAACCCATCTCCAATCACCGAGAGAATAAATCGAATTGTTATATTACTTTTGATGGCATAGAAATTCACCCGATTGCTATCACTCGGAGATGCTGTGGCTGGGCGTTTTGGTCGCGATAATCTGGGAAAATGACCGTTGGGATACCGTAACGTACGCATTACAAAATGGATACGGTTTGGTCTCCACTGATGCTCATGGGGATATACGGTGACTGGATTATGGAGTTTGTACCACGGAATTATGAGGGATCGGTGGTACATAAAGGGGAGGCAATCCGAGAGTAGATGGGGGGAAGGGAGAGGGAGAGAGAGAACGGGGAGGTGTATAATGCGGTACACGTACGCACCATAATGTCCGGTGGTATATATTCCTTCACTTAACGAGAGAGAGAAAGGGAGAGGCGGTACGGAAAAATAATGCCCGGAGAGTGAGAGATATTCTGTGATGAGAGTGCCTCGGGACGTCACGACGGGATCTGCCACCCCCACGTATACCAATGAGAATAATCGTTGCTGTGGATGCATCTTTCAATACATGCAAGCAACTGAGAAACTAAAAGATGAGATAGACGCACACCTACTTATCCCTTCTACTGTGCATTTGCCGGGATCCGTTAGATTCCAGGGATACCACTCGCTGTGGTACAGACCAACTTGGATGATCCCCCGGCTCGATTTCACGTAATTGGGATGCAATTATAAAATGGCCGAGCCGCTTCTGGCGCTTTTACACCGCTCGATTCGAGGAAAACGTTTGGAATATTCACCTCCATCGCCGTCGTTACGAATATCATTGCCAATCTGACACGTATTGTTTGAAATACAACATTTTTTTCAATCAATCAGACTGAATGAATGATTGATAGATCCCTCTCTGTCAAACGAGTTTGTTCCATATAATTGCAGAATCAAGTAATGAATTTATCAATTAAAACTCGTTTGATATTTGTGATATTTTCTGAAACGCATGTTTTGACGATTTTTACTGGCTGCCTGTAATTGAGCCCTTCAGAAATGAATATGGAAATAAAATGGTTGCGCTAAAATCTTGGCTCGGAATACAAATAGACATAGGTTTTGAGAATATTCTGAGCATAGTATAAGTATTCATATTGAAGCGGATCGTGACCCTCGCTGTACCTTTCTATCCTTGTTGCTCGCCTTCTCGGATCGAAGCGGCGAGAACCTATCGATACTCAATCGATAGATAAGTCGGGTCGACGGGTCGCAAACACAGCTGGCTCAGGTATAACCTGGGTACAGACGATTCCTTGTATTTTGCGACGCGCGCGCGTGTATCCCCCTATCTCACTCTTGAATTTCTTTGTGCAACAAACCGTTGTACTCAACTGTCCCGTGGATCTCTGAACTCCAGGTTATATCCTCTTGTGTGCCCAGCTTGCCGCATTTCTGGGTATTTTCCTATCTCCTTTTTCACCTCTGGTACGAGTGTTGTTTGCCCGGATTAACTGGCGACTGGCTTTATAAAAAAGCCGGCACAACGTTAGTCGAGTGTGTCTCCCACGCAACGTCGCAAAACTCACAATGATGACATTATATTAGAATGAATACGTTGAGTGACTGGAATTCGATGATTGTGAAGTGGAAGATTTGGTGTACAGTGTATGCATTGATTGACAATATGTTCTGTTTGATTGCAGGTACGACCTGGGGTTGCGACGGGGTAGCTAGTAAACCTTCAACGGTGGGTGAAGAGGACGATAAAACGGGGTGGAAGGCGTTAACAAAGGTAGATTGGACGCTGTGCAAGGTGGGAGGAATAAAAGAAAGTAAAGTGAGCGCAGACGCATGCGCAATTGGTGATGTGAGGCTGGCGGTCGCCTCACGTTTGGGGTGATGCCCTCCAGTGAGCCCCATCCCCCCCAGTACCATCTTCAGCACCGCACAATTCCGCCATCTCATTTGCAGCAGCACTCGTCGTCACCGACGAGCGCAACAATTGGCCAGCATCAGCTATATCAACAGCTGGTGTCTGTCCATCATACCCAGAATCAACCGAGCCAGCAGCACGGCGTTGGCTATCAAAATTCCGCGTACGCGCTACAAAAACAGGAGATGAGCCCGGAGGAGGAGGGTGGCCGGAGCGGCGGGTCCCCTCCGGCTGCTGGGGCTGCACTCCATCAGCCACATCATCCACGAACAGCATCACCACCCTCCGGTACTGAGCCCTGTAATCGTGACGCTATACCAACCCCAACGCCAACAGCCGACACAACAACAACAACAGTCAGTTCGAATGATACACTAGCAACGGTATCCGCAGCAGCAAGTGCTGCTACCATAACAACAAGCGTTGGTATGACCACTATGCAGTCATCAGGTCAACCTCAATCACAACAGCAGGGTCCAAGTCCGAGTCCAAGTCCAACAGGCGGTGATGTTGAAAAATTTGATGGTAAAATTGTTTATAATCCCGATGGATCAGCGTATATTATTGAGGGTGAGAGTGAATTGAGTGAGGACGATTCATTGCCAGATGGTTGTATCGTTGATGGTCGTGGTGTTTCCGTACCACACTCACTGGTCTTTCCCCAAATAGCAAGCGCCTACTATGTATCAAGGTTATACGCCCATCAGGCATATCAACAACAGCAGGCACAGCAGCAGCAGAGAAATTCAGCTCAACCCCATAATCCCGATTTGCCGGTAATGCACAGTTATCGAGTGATTAGTTATAGAACAGCGGAGGGTAGTAAAGCGCCGCCGCCAACGCCAGCTCCACCGCCTCCATCAACATCTGTGCCAGTCAAGCCAATTCTCATGTGTTTTATCTGTAAACTGAGCTTTGGTTATGCCAAAAGTTTTGTTGCACACGCACAGGGTGAGCATCAGTTGACACTGATGGAGGATGAGAGGCAGGTGCTGTCGCACGCGACGACGTCAGCTATTATTCAGGCTGTTGGCAGGGGTAAGCAGCCACTGGTCAGCTTTCTCGAGTCAGTGACGAGTTCGTCGTGTCTCCAGAGCTCACCGGTCCAGGGGCAACATCGTGGTACTGAATCAAATGAGCACGATATCTCAACGGCAACTAGTACACCAACCAGTACACCGGGTATACCAAGTAGTCCGCAGGCACAGCAGAGGCCATCGCCAAGTGCCCCAACCACACCGACGTCTCACGCTAATTCATTGAGCTTCAATCATCAACCCACACAGCATCAGTGGACGGGTCAAGTGAGTGCTGCATCGTGGGCGAAAGCACCAGAGGCAATGCATTATACATCACCACCACCGCCATCATCGACCAAAGGTTCGCCATCGTCGTACGCTGCTCTCACCCAACAGCCACCGAATTTTCTAACTGGTACGACAATCGGCGTGTGCCCGGAGCACATGCAGGGAAGACCGAGCGGCGTTGAATGTCCGAAGTGCGAATTAATACTGACAAGTAGTCGTCTGGCTGGACCTGGTGGACCCCTAGCTGGCATTCACAGTCGTAACTCATGCAAAACCCTCAAGTGTCCAAAATGCAATTGGCACTACAAGTACCAGGAGACACTAGAAATTCACATGAAGGAAAAACATCCCGAGAGTGAGACATCGTGTATCTACTGTATCGCTGGTCAACCACATCCGAGGTTAGCTAGGGGTGAGACATATACTTGCGGTTACAAGCCATACAGGTGTGAAGTTTGTAATTATTCAACAACAACCAAGGGCAATCTCAGCATACACATGCAGAGTGACAAACACCTCAACAACATGCAAGAGCTCCAGCAGGGTGGTGGTGCTGCTGTTGCAGCGAGCAATCCCTCGTCATCGCAGGAGGCACCAATGCCAACGCGGAGTCCCCACCATCCCCAAAATCACAGTCCCCACTTGACGGGTCAGGCGGTGGCTCAGGGTAAACCAAAACCGACCTTTCGCTGTGATGTTTGCAATTATGAGACAAATGTTGCGAGAAATCTCAGGATACACATGACGAGCGAAAAACATACGCATAATATGCTGGTGCTGCAGCAGAACGTTAAGCACATGCAGACACTGTCAGCCCTTCAGTCACACCATCAGCAAGCGCAGCAGCACCACCACCAGGCGGCTGCACAGCAGCAGCAACTCGAACAACTGCTGCATCTCGGTGGTCTGGATAAACCACAGCACGCCGAGGCAGCGCTCGCTGACATGGCGTACAATCAGGCTCTTCTCATTCACATGGTAGCTGGCGGTCAATTACCACCCCAACTGCCACCAGAGTTACTCGGTGGCATGGCAAGTATGAGTGCAATGAGCAATCTTGGTGGGGACGTTGGCTTGTCCCCAGACAGCATGGAACCACCACCAGAGCCAGCCGATCCCGATCCATCTCACTTATATCACTGTTGTGTGTGCAATAACTTCAGCACCGATTCTCTCGATGCTCTCGGTCATCACTTAGCCACTGACAGAACGAGAACGCGAGAGGGTGAAATACTTGCCCTGGTAGCTGGTAATTTTGTCTGCAAACTGTGTTCGTACAAGACCAATCTAAAAGCTAACTTCCAGTTGCACTGCAAAACGGACAAGCATCTACAACGATTGCAGCACGTGAATCACGTGAAAGAGGGCGGTTCACGTAATGAGTGGAAGCTCAAATTTCTCGCCTCCCCAACTAGTGCACAATTGCGTTGTCACGCATGTGACTACTACACAAACAGTGCCCACAAGCTAGTCATGCATGCAGACTCGCCCAGACATCAAGCAGCAGCTCTTCTTTTACGACATCTACTCGAGGCCAGTGCCAATACCCAATCCCAGAGTAAACTCTATCACTGCGCATTATGTGGATTCAGCGCTAGACATCGACTACCACTTTTGCAACACGTACGATCTCTCAGGCATTTGCAAATGGAGCAACTCCATCAACTCCACAGACGCAGTGGTATACAAGGCAATGACAATCCCCACACGGATATTGGCGATGTCTTTCAAGTTGTCGCTGATCCCGATGCACCATCAACCCAACAAGCTAGTCCCACAACACCAACGACACCCAATGCCGCTACCACCAACAACGGTGAGTGTCGCTACGTACACTCCCACAACAAATCACAAAATATGTCATTCATCCACGACCATTTACACGATACAATTGATGTTGTTTTGTACTACTGTTATGCACCATGTATTTATTTTTTTTGTATTTTTTTTGCTGTTTTTGTTACGTAACTCGTGGCTTTGTTAATCAAAATTACCTCGATATACCTGCAAAGTCATAAATTTAATTGGCGAACTGTCGAATAAATGGGGAGAACGTGAAAAAAAAAAAAATTCACCAAAGACACCTATGTCTTGGCTTCTTCATTTTTTATTTTTTATTTCTTTTTGCATAATGAATCCACTGCGCCATGAACCCACTCATCGATTACATTCGCACTGCAATTAACCTCCTACCGCAATTACGGTTATTTCATTCCTCTCGGTAGCATATGGCAATGGCGTGTGCCCACCTCTGTTACACACACACAGCGTTCTCATTCCTGTGTATGTGTTTTCTTTATTATTTTGGAATAAGTTGATATGCCATTGTGCCACAAGCGTCATGTACATTTTACCCCCGATTCGTAATACAGGGATCGTGGAACAAGGCCATAGAATTTAGAGCAACACGCGTCAGCATTTCGCCTCCATCGCAACTGGCGTTCCAATGTGGTTTCGGACAATGTCTGGCCTACGGTCGATCTTGGTGGTCTTCGAGCTTATTACTGTATGACTAGTCTCCTTACTCCATGATACTCTCAAAACCAATGCATGAACCACCTCAATTTCTGTCTTCCCACCATCACGGGAATGCCGGTTAATTCGGTGTATTACGAATCTATAATGCGAATTTTATATTGGCAGGCGCTTGTGGGCATCTGCGGCGGCCTCCGACCTACCTTTTCATTTCCTCCCTCGCATCCCCCTTTAAATTTTACGGTTTAATCCTGCATTTTTTTCAGAATGGGAACGGCTGGAAAAAAAAAAACTTTCACCCCGCAACTTTGGCGATACCAGTTGGTCAAGTGCGTGGGGATCGATTGGTAGCGCCTAATAATTTTATCGAAATGCGGTTACTGGGGAAAATGTTGAAATTAAAATATTTCAACCGGACGAGAAGGCGTCACGTATCCGTCGGTGGGCCACTTTGTTTCCGGTTGTCGAAAATGCAGGAGGGAGCGTGTAACACTCAGTAGTTGAGGGGAAAAGTAAAAATAACAAAAATCGCATGTTCCACATCAAGAATTGCATAGTATTGACTTTCCCCATGACGTTTCCGGAATTCAATGCCGATGGGTAATTAAATTCCTCGCGGAGTCATATGAATGGATTGAGCTTCACGATTTATATTGCCTGGGCTTTAATCAGGGATGACAATCTGACTATTCATAGATTTTTTTATTCCCCGGCAACGTGACGCCCCATACACATCTCCATCACGTCTAGCGGTTTATTGAAAACTGCCGTTTATTTCATCTCGGTGTGTGTCCCCCATTCGTCGCGTGGAAATTAACACCCAGAAACACTTGAAACAGGTTTTTTAACGGCGAACTTCCAAGTATAAATAACGAGTCGCGTGTCGCAAGGCACAACCATGGGCTACATTAATCCGAAAATTGATTGGAAACAATGGGCTATAATGAACAGCCGATGAATTTCTAACGGATTTTTTTGCAAAACACTAGAGTTGAGGGTACGATTCCTTGATTGGTTTACATAATTCAGTCAAATTTCTTTGAAAATTTATGTATTTTTTCATTTTTACCCATGAAAGGAGATACTTTAATAAATATCTTCGACGAATCATTCGATGAGAAATAAAATATGTAAAAAAATGAACCATCGACGAATCACCCGTGACTCACACAAAACTACACAGATTGATGTTTAATCGTTATCACAATTTTAGTAACTGTAGTGTCTATTATCTTGCCATACCCATAAATATTTTGACCGTTTTATTTGTTTTCCAGAGCGACGTGAGGACGGCAGCGATTGTGGTAGTGAGGTGAAACAAGAGCCAGAAAACGATCAAGAGCAGGATCCAGAGCCTGATAACGATACAGAAGAAATTGTATGTCCATTCTGTACGTATCAGCCAACATCGAAGGAAGAATTGAAGCAGCACCTCCAAGTGGCCCACACACAAGAGAACGAGGATAAAATGGAAGTTGTTAAGGAAGAGCCAGTACAAGAGTTGTTGTGTCCATTGTGTCAAGATGGGTTCAAAGAGCGAGCTGCTCTGGAAAAACACGTGATGCAAATTCACTCGGTGAATGCAGACGGTCTCCAGAGGCTGTTACTCCTCGTAGACCAGAGTCACTGGTTAAATAACAGTCCACGAAACACATCTACACCAGCGGCAACACCTACATCCCCAAGTACAACAAAGCAAAATCCCGAGGACGATAACGAGAGAACGAGCGAAGAGGTCGAGGAGATAGCGAGGTGTACAATATGCGGTAGAATCTGCAGATCGCTGGAGGAGCTTCAGCAGCATCACAGGGAGTCCCATCCGGCGACAACGCCAACCCTGGCAGTCAGTGAAAAACACGTCTACAAATATCGCTGTGGTCAGTGCAGTCTGGCCTTTAAAACCCTCGAAAAACTTCAACAACACTCGCAGTATCACGCAATTCGTGATGCCACGAAATGCGCCCTTTGCGGCAGATCTTTTCGCTCAGTTCAGGCACTCCAACGTCACCTGGAGTCAGCGCACGCCGACCTTCAGGAAGACGAATTAGCGCAGTACAAGCAGAGTCTCCTCCATGCCCATCCCCTTCTGCAGGCCCTTACTGAGGAGGCTATCAGACGACAGGGTGGTGTTGTCGGTGAGCAAAATACCGAGGAGGAGACGAGGGGCGACGAGGAGGAGAGCGACGCCAGTGATTCATCGCCCCTCCACAAAGAGCAGAGATTACTCGAGGATTATCTCAATAGTCAATCAATCGCTGAAGACTCGTATCACGATCCTCAACGTAAATTCAAGTGCCATCGTTGCAAAGTTGCCTTCACGCGACAGAGCTACCTCACAGGACATAACAAGACTTTACTACACCGTAAGGGTGAGAAAATGACCTATCCGATGGAGAAGTATCTTGACCCAAATAGGCCATACAAGTGTGACGTCTGCAAAGAGAGTTTTACGCAAAAGAATATACTATTGGTTCACTACAACAGCGTCAGTCACCTGCACAAACATAAACGAGCAATGCAGGAGCAGGGAAACAACAATACCTTGATCTCTGTGATACCCCCGGCGAGTCCAACGGAATCACCAGACTCTCAACAAGATCACGACAAAAAACCATACAAATGCAATATCTGCAAGGTTGCGTACTCTCAAGGCAGCACTTTGGATATTCATATGAGAAGTGTTCTCCATCAAACACGAGCTAGTAAACTACCAGATTTGGCTGCAAGTGGTCAGCTTGATCTCGGACGACCGTTGATCGAGCAGCCACCGCCCTCCAGCCCAAATAGCCCACCAGGCAGCACAAACACCGGCAACAGTAACAGCAACATGCTATCCTGTCCTCGTTGCAGTGCTCTGTTCGTCAGCCAGGAGCAACTGACCACTCATCAGCAGTTGTACTGCATTTTCAGTAATCCATTGGCGCTATTTCAAACACTGGCTGCGTCGCAGCAGATGGCAGCCTCGACTCCAGATAAAACCCCTCCACCGATTTCCACGACGCCCCAACTCCAGCAAGCTCCGACCCCCAATCAGGTTGATATCTTATCTCAACCGAGACACAAAACATCACAAATGTACAAACACTTACTCGAGAGCTTTGGCTTTGATCTCGTGATGCAATTCAATGAGAATCACCAGAGGAGGCAGAGGAAGGAAGAGGAGGACAGGGCGGCACTCCAGGCGCAGCAGGAGCAGCAAAAGCAGGAGCAGCAAAAACAGGCGCTGGCTGCACAACAGGCAATGGAGAAAGAGGATCAGGAGACTGAAGAGCCCGGTGAGGAGGAGGCAATTCCTGAGTTAACGAGGAGCACTTGTCAGCACTGTAACAAAGAATTCAGTAGTGTCTGGGTGCTGAAGGCGCACTGCGAAGAGGTACACCGTGATTTAGTGCCAAGGGAATTTCTCGAAAAATACGCACAGCAGTTCAAGTGTGAGTATGAGAAGAAGAGTGTAGTTGTAACTGCGGCGACTTCGTCATCCACAACGACAGCACCGCGCAGCTCAACACCCGCAGCCAATCAGCCACAGGATTTGAGTTCTGATAAGGAGAAACGAGATAAGGATAAGGAGGAGGGTGGGGAGAGCAAAGAACGTATCAGTCGCACACCGGAGGCCACTTCGACTACTCCAGCTACAACTCCAGCATTAAGTAATACTCCGGTATCGAGTAGTGAATCGGTTACACCAACTGCAACGAGTAATTCACAGCATCCTATGCAGTCACAGCCGCAGAGCCAGCAGCATGCCCAGATGACACTGGCACAGCAAATGTCGGAAATGCAAGCTGCCCTCAATGCCATGGCCGCTAGTCAGCTGCAACAGCAATTGCAACAGTATCCTGGACTCATGATGGGCATGATGGGACTGCCCCTGGGGCTCAATGTGCCTGCTCTTGCTGCTATGAATCTACAGCCACCACTTGTACCAATGATGCTACCACCCCCGCCTTACGATGCGGCCAACAGTCAGAACTCTGCGTATCCACCCATGCAGGCGCAGGCTGATCTTCTTGCCAAACAACATCTCGCCATTCAACAGCAACAGGCCGCTGCGGTGAGTTTTCTTTCTATTCTTTGAATTTTCCATTTTCGCGACATTCGAATTTTCACGCGACGGGACCTATAGGGGGAGTGAGGTAATACCGTTTTAACGTTTTTCTTAATTATCAATTTTTCGAAATGAAGACCGATTTTAGGTGGAAACATTATATTCTTTCTATTTCCCTTATTTTCATTTTTTTTACATCATTTTTAGGATTAAATATTTGTTTCCCTTGATAGATTATTTTATGTATACGAACTTTCCGTGTAAATAATCATCACTGATATTTCTCTCTCATTAATTTCTGTTTCTGCGCTGAATAACTAACACTGAATGGAAATACTAACTATACGATGTTAGTTTGAGTAGAAGTGTCATTAATAAGATGAGTTTTTTTTAGCAGCTTTTATTTCGCCCCGCCCGTTGATTTTGCCCCGTCCTCCCGTAAGGATTCTTTTTTAAATTAATAGTTTTTTCGATTTTTCGATACCTGATGAACGAAGCATTCGGAAATTTAACGCTTCTAATTTAACGATTCGTGTATAAGGGACCTATAAGGGGAAATACTTTCCTTTGCGTGTGATTATCTGTAATTCGTACATTAAATTTATGTGTGTTCCAATGGGTTATGAAAACAGATTGCGAATCCAAAGGTTTCGTTCCAAAGAGTTTTAATTCTATTTCGGTGTTTGCAATTTTATGTCCGAATTCGATTCTATGGTAAAATTTAATTTTAGAGGTGAGGGGGGTATTCTCACTATTTACCTCAAACGTTTTTAATCAAGCGCTTAAAATTCCCCTCGTTCGTTTGCACATAAAGTAAAATACTGAGTCCTGAAGAAAATCCTCTTGCATGTATGTGCAGGCAAGCGCAGCAGCCTCGCAGAAGCGTGCCCGCACCCGAATAACGGACGACCAACTGAAGATTCTCCGCGCGCACTTCGACATCAACAACTCCCCAGGGGAGGAACAAATCGTCGATATGGCGAAACAGAGCGGTCTCCCACCAAAAGTGATTAAACACTGGTTCCGAAATACACTGTTCAAAGAGCGCCAACGAAACAAAGACAGTCCTTACAACTTCAACAATCCACCGAGTACAAGTCTGAATCTAGAGGAGTATGAAAAAACAGGGGAGGCGAAAGTGACACCACTGAACTCCTCGACGTCGGGAAGTTCGTCAGATGACAAGAGTCCAAACAAACAGTCATCTCCACCACCAAGTGCCCTGGCAACGCCACCAACAACCGAAATAAAGCAAGAGCCCCTGGATCCACTACCATCACAGCAGTTGCTGCCCCAGCATCAGCTGGAGGAGCCTCACCACTCACCGGGAAGCTCTGGTGGTCAGCAATCGCGTCCGCACTCGCCCGCCTTGAGTATGAGTTCAGTTTTTTCCGGATTGCACCACGAAATGTCTCACAGTTCAGCGAATCCATCGACACCAATGCTGCCACCAAAACTTACACCTCAAAATTTCGCAAGTCCAAATGCCGGATCGGGATCTGTTCCGAGCTCTATAGCAGCCATGGCGCTGACACCTCAGCGCTCTCTGAGCCCAGGTCGTGGCCCAACGGATTTTTCCTTCGGTGGAAACAGCAACGGCAGCAATTCCTCAGGTGGTAGCTCAGGCAAACGAGCCAATCGCACTCGTTTCACCGATTACCAAATCAAAGTCCTCCAGGAGTTCTTCGAGAACAACGCCTATCCAAAAGACGATGACCTGGAGTATTTGAGTAAACTCCTGGGTCTTTCTCCACGTGTGATTGTCGTGTGGTTTCAAAATGCTCGGCAAAAGGCGCGCAAAGTATACGAGAATCAGCCAGCGGCTGAGCCAGTGGCCCAGGGCAGAGAGGGTGACGATGGCTCCGGTCGATTTCAACGCACCCCAGGTCTTAATTACCAATGCAAGAAGTGCCTGCTTGTGTTCCAACGCTACTACGAACTGATACGTCACCAAAAAACTCATTGCTTCAAGGAAGAGGACGCCAAGAGGAGCGCCCAGGCACAGGCAGCTGCAGCCCAAGTGGCAGCAGTCCTCAGCTCCGAAGACAGCAATAGTAGTTCAACAACAACGACTAACGCATTGCCAAACAATCCTAGCACACCAGCCCTCACTGATCAGCAGCAACGGCCCCTGAGCACCTCGACACCACCCCACATCCAGCAAAATCTCCCCCAACTACCAACGACACCGCAACCCCCTGACCAACGACCACCACCGCAGGGGGAATCCAAGGAGGGTAGTTTCCAGTGTGACAAGTGCAATCTGATGTTCGGAAGATTCGAGCTCTGGCGTGAACACCAGCTGGTACATATCATGAATCCCACGCTCTTCCCACCAGCCTATCCTCCAGACTCTCCCTTCGGAATTCTTCAACAGCAGGCACTCAACGCCAGCACTGGCATCACTGGCGACACACCCCATCCCCTCATAGCAATGATGCAGGAACGTAAACGCAAGTTCGAGGATTTTGAGGAGAACACTGGCAGTGAGAATCGTAATAATTCTGAACACAGTGAACAGCCCAAAGATAAGAGATTGAGAACAACAATATTACCAGAACAGCTGGATTATCTCTACCAGAAATACCAGATAGAGTCAAATCCATCGAGGAAGATGCTCGAGACGATAGCCAGAGAGGTGGGTCTCAAAAAGCGAGTGGTACAGGTTTGGTTTCAAAATACCAGGGCACGTGAACGCAAGGGACAATTTCGTGCCCACAGCCAAGTGATAAATAAGCGTTGTCCCTTCTGTCCTGCATTATTCAAAGTCAAGTCTGCCTTGGAATCCCACCTGAGTAGCAAGCACGCCGACCAAGTAGCACGGGGTGAAGTAAATATCGATAATATTCCCGATGAGGAGCTCTCCATGGAATCAGCACCGTCGAATCCCAGCACTCCTAACATGATGCCACCGTTGTTTCCACCATTCAACTCAGACGTAGAGGCCTCCCTGAAAAAATATTACGAGGAGTCGATGAAAAGATACATTAGCGAGCTGCAGGCACACACTAGCAATGGAAAGCAAGAGAACTCTGGCGGACAGGGGGTCAGCGCCACAGGAGAATCCCCACTGGATCTCAGTAAACCAGTGGATCTGAGTCGGCCCGTGAAACTCAATTTGGGAAGTCTGAGCAATCTTCTGGAGGAGCAACAGCACAGCTTGGCTCAACACTTTCGTGGTGGCAGTGATTGTGGACCCCTGACAGATCTCTCTGAGCGCAGTATCTGCGACGACGACTCCATGAGCGAAACAACTGAATTTCTGGACGACGAGAGTGGTCCTGCAAGCCCAGCATCCAGCACACAGAGCTCACGTCATGGTGGTACAACAATGACATCAGCGTCAGCAAGTGGCAATTCAACGAGCGGCAATGCCGGTGGCAAGAGATACAGAACCCAGATGTCAGCGACACAGGTGAAAGTGATGAAGTCACTCTTCTCGGATTACAAAACCCCAACGATGGCTGAGTGCGAGATGTTGGGGAGGGAGATTGGCCTGCCAAAACGCGTTATCCAGGTGAGCAACGGTGCCACACCAGCCACATTGAAACAAACATAACATTGAAAAAAATAAAAACAATCGAAAATTAATAATCAATTGAAACTCTAAAACGTGTGTTGTGTGTGTGTTTTGAATAAAAAAAAAATATAAATAAATGAAGTGAGGACTAATTGGACTAATTGGTGATAAACCGACGGTTGCAGGTATGGTTCCAGAATGCCAGGGCCAAGGAAAAGAAGGCGAGATTGGCAGCTGGTCTCCCAGCAGAGGGCTCTGCTGTTCAACCCCATCGTGGACCAACGGGTCCAGACGAATGCCGTTTGTGCTCAGTACGTTATACCCCAAAATCACCCCTCCAGGAGCACGTATTCTCACGTAGACACATTGAGTCTGTACGAGTTGCTGTGGAGGAGGGTAGCCTAGTACCTCCAACCCCAGGTGTACCAATATTACCTGTTGGTGGGAGTATCACCAATGCGACTGGTCAATCAAACACGCAATCACAGAGTGACGAAAATATGATGTATGGATCGTTGTTTCTCCATCCAACAGCGATGTTTCAGTCACAGCATCCTGGAGCTGCCAGCACGGCTACCACCACCCCCGGTGAGTGTCTGGCTGACCTCTTAGACTCGTAATGAGATAAAGAAAATAAAAATATGAGAAAAGCATATATTTACTGGGTACAACGTGTCAAACGTATGTACAACGCTTGCGCGCGCAACGCCACTCCTTTAAACGTTTCGTTAACGAATTTTTATTGTATTTATTGAAATATACATGAGGTTTATTATCACGTGGTATTCGGTGTGAATTTATTGAATATATGAATTGATATATCGATGTGACACTTTTTTATTTTGAGAGAGTGTGAGAGTCTGGAACAAGTGAGTGGTGTGCACGCGTCAGCTGAAATATCAGGAAAATATATATTTTTCCGTCTATTGTATTTAGTTGTCTCGTGCACGTAATTAATCGTTGATCACGTCTTATTTTTTTTCTCTCTTTTTCTCAATATTGTATATCATAATTTAACCTTACCTTTACCAATTACGTTGCATAATGATCTTTCTTTGGGGGCCCGTGTGATAATCTAGGGGGTCCGTTCGCTATGATGAACCTTGTCGTGTTTATATTAGGTAAAATTTAATAATTTTATTATAGTGATGAATAATATATCCAGAGTTAGGCAATACTGAAAGTTCCTATCAGATGACTATTTGTAGACGTAAGGGAGGCACTTTAGAAAAAACCGGGTGTTATTGAATGATAATAACAGAATGAATTACAAAAGAGTATGTAGTAAATACGGCAGTGAGTCTGTCGCAGTGCACTCACTGTGAGGAACACAGAGTAAATAAAATTATTCAAAAGTGAAGAAAAAAAAATACCATGAATGAGAATGAAAGAATGATAATTCTTCTTTTATAAATAAAAACTAGATCTTTAAGTGAATAAAGATCTTTGTGCTGCCGGAGATAAAAGGATAAAATAATAGACGTGTTTGTTCATTATTTCCCCATCACGTAAGCTGTACAGTAAAGACTATATTAGGATGTAATTATCTCGATTTTAATTGTCCTGATTAAACTCGAATGCGACAGTTTAGAGAATAGTATAGCCCAGAGAAAATGGAGGTTGATAAAACAAAAAAATAACGAAGAACGGACTAGATTGCCTTTTTATTTCTAAGTAGCAAAGGATTTTCTTTCTCTCCCACTTTCCACATCCTCTCTCCATTGTCAATACTGCCCCCCC